GTGCAGTACTTGGGAGAAATCTCAAATAATTAGTAGACACCCTTATGAACAAACAAGGATTAAAAATCAATAATAATAAAAGGCATCTGGTGTGACTGATTGTGTGTGAGAGGAAAGACAACAGAATTAAGATGAGACAAAAGATAGACTGATACAATGATAGCAGAGAGAGACAAAACACAGGCTAAGGCAGAAAGAAGAAAAAACTTTAATCACATGCTCCACTTGTAAACACGTGCGGAGTGATAAGAGCGTGTGGAGAAGAGTCACTCAGTTCATCAGTGTTTCGAGTCCCACAGCAGCCAGAACTTATAGTGACACACCTGATCCAGCCCTAACAATAAGCTTTATCAAGGTTTGGTTAAATCACGTCAAAGACTTGGGCAACAAATCTGAAGAAACCGGTTCTATAATTGAAATTAATTACTGCTGATGCAAGCTGGTCCTGATAACATTACTTGAGAGTTTACATAAAGCAATGTGCTCTACTGGTGAGCGAATGACAGGAAAACAATGAAGACAGCACAGACTGAGCTCTAAAGAATTTCACTTTATTTTTAGATTCGGCATGTTCGCTATAAGAAAACCTTGGAATTTACACAGATGATATGTACACAGGTTTAGCTTCAGTGATTTTGTAGTCTTGCATGCGTCAGACCAGTTTTAAATACAAAAAAAAACCAAACAGATTATGTACATGAATTGTGAATTCTCTCGGCAGTGTAGCATTTAGACATAACTCACTATTTCACTGTTTTCTCCTAACGAGACGACACTTGTGAGACGTTAAATCATGGCGAGCATAACCAATTAAACCAATAACAGATACTTAGGCACGGCAATGGATTTATCACATACAAAATCACAAAATAAAAATCAGCACCACTGTCTTTTCGTGTATGCATATGAATTCTACATATTGCAGACGGTTCAGTAAGTATGCAGCACAGGGACTTTCCCATTATTCCAAAACATCCTGTACATTGCCGTTCTATAGAAACACATAAACCTGCTCCCAGGCCTAATAAGAAACATTAAAAAAACAAAAACAAAAAAAACAGCGGATGGATCAGTTGCTGAGGTAACACAATGTTCACTAATGATGAGAGACATTCATCAAGCAATAGTTACAGAAAGAGACATTTTCACACTTCCAAACAGTGCAAAAAAGATCACGTTCACCTTTGTTAAACGCCTGCCTCTGAACACTATTCATATATGTTAAGAGGAATCAGTCCCTACAATTATTTCGTCCAGTCCATGCTTGCCCTGAAGAAATCCCTGCTAAAGTAATGGAGATTAGAGTCCTTAAGGTAGGGCCAAGCTAAAGGGCTGGAGGGATCGTGCGCTTCTTTCTCTAATCTTATGTTGCAGTGTCCTCTTTGTGTTCTTTACTCCTCTAACAAAAAGATACTGAACGATAAAGTGGAAATTTCACAAGAAAACTCGTATGTTGTTAGCCCACCGAAGCCTTATCTTTGGTTGAACTTGAGAAACTGTCAGAACAAGGATTACTTTATGGGCAATACAAACAGGGGCGCAGATTACAACCTTAAACACACAGATTTACTTTCAAGACTTTTAAATAAGGATTTACTAACAACCTCTAAACATACAATGTCGCAGAACTGAATTCAGTCAAAATGAAAATCCATACACTGGGTACAGATGGGGGCGTTTAAGCTCCTGTCAAATGTCAGAAAATATCACGTCTCTTTCGCAAATACCGAGATGTAAATATGCTTTGCAGAAACACTTCGATGACAAGATGAATGAAAATGTAATGTGCCATGTCTTTGCAGGCGAGCGAGCGGTGCGGTGATGACATAAGTATATTGCAGAAAGAGATAACAGAGGTCGAGCTGCTGCTCTCCCTTGCTTTTACAACAATTACAGAAGTTACATGCAGCGTTAGAGTCCAACACCAGTTCAATTCAGCCTAAATCTGTACCACTTAAAACACCACTGAGGTTTTGTGTCCAATTGGATTTATATGAAAGTATTATTTACTTGAATTGCAGCCCTTAGGAAATGAGACACACCTGTTAATACAATATGCGTTACTCTGGATATTAGAAATAGAAAAATACACAAGGGATAAGGCCTGCCTCGTGCTAATCTCTCAATGTCTTGAGGACAAAGAACTCTGAGGGTGTGTGAGGTTTTGTTTTTCAACTGGATTTATATGAAAGTGGCTTTTTCCACAAGGTGTGGTGAAAATTTAATTTGCAATTACTGAATATTTTATGACTTGTAGATGCACATATATTCCTGCCTCAGCAGAGGGTATTACTTGTCTCACGTGGTTTAACCTCTTTTCCCCACAGGAGAGAAAATTATCCTCGGTTTATATTCCTTCACCTGTATGAGTCACTATTATCTGAAGATCTCAGTCGAATCCCATGGAAACCACATCAGTAACCGGATAATAATGATTAAAGCCACAAAACATTGTCTATGCGGTAAGATATTCAACACACTATGTGTCCCAGACCCAGGCAGTCTTCACAAGTGACAAAATCATGAAAATGTATTCTAGTTTGTTTACAAAATTCTAATTTTCCTTTCACTTTTCACACAAAGGACCTCAAATCTGAGAGCAACTGCATTATTTAAAACAACAGAATATGTGCAGCAATTTAAAAGACAGAGATGAGGCAACACATTGTTAGCTAAAGTTCTGCACCATTGTTAATATTTGTAACAGTATCTAGAGCTAAATAACCCAAAGGTAAGTTCAGGTATCAAGTTATTCTTATTGTTTAAAGATAAGAAGTTAGAAAGCTACCATCAGATATACCCAAAAAGCTCCTGTCAGGCTACCACAGTGTAATATTATTATTTTACATATTATTTTTCAGTTGTTACATTTGATTGTGTTTCAGAATAAAGGATTCTGCACGGCAATACATTTGGTGAATGCATACAGTAGATACTTTAAAAGAGAGCTCACTGACTGCTGCTTGCTTTGCTTGTTAACTAGAGCCCTGCAGGAAAAAGAACAACTACCACAATCCAAATGACACACCAGGAAACATCACCCAGTGACCAACAGTACAGTCATTCATAAAGACTCAAAGTTATCTGCATAAGTAAAATATGCGACCTGAGATTCTGTGATGGTTTATGCATATTTTACACTCAAGGTCTGATAAACTGGAAGCTTAATTTTTATCTGTGTGATATCTGTTCTCTGGAACATGACGCCATAGCATCAATGAGGGGAAAAATACAGGCTATTCAGAGGAAGCAGAGGTTCTCATGAACACCATTCAAATTCAGACACTGGGGTTATTAACGTGAGGTGAAAAGCGGTAACATGGAAACCAAGAATTTGGCACGCACCCTCGTATCCTGGAATCAAACCAGAAGTGCAAGTCTCTATACTTCCTTTCATGAAGTTTGACCACTGCATCTGAGCAAATTCTCCACAAGTAAGATGGCTAATCGGAGATGCAGCTCATCGGCATAGAAGCTGTTTAAGTTAACAACAACATAAATTATCCTGTATAGAGAAGTTAACCTACAAGTGAACAAATAAATAAATAAAGCTATCCCTCCTCTGAGGCACAGTAGTTCTACATGTCCTACTCCAGTCTCAAATGTTTTTTCACTTTAGTTTTTAGCCTTTGGCTCGTTAAGCTAGTAAAGCTAAGGCTCGCCAAAAAAAGGACAGGTTTGTGATCCGCCACATATTCACCAGACATCACTCTGCTCTAACCACCCTGTCAACTTGTTTCTGTGGTAAAAAGAGAGACCTTGTTAAAACACGAGACTGCCAAAGACTTCTCTGCCAGAAGTAATTTAACTGGCATATCAGCATGCAAATTTAGAAGCAATTAGCCTTCAGTGAAGTCTGTGGCTGTTGGCTGCATGAAAGCTATTGTGTGAGAATGGTGTGAACTAGGTCATCATACTTTGTTTTCTAATGGCTGCGAGTGAAGAAACTCGAAGTTAGTGAAGTCAGTTACCGATCATTAACTAAGTTTTCTCTTTGTTTGTTCTGTCAGATTAGGGAACTGGGTATCCTGGCCCTATGAAGTGGTTAGGGATGTCGCGTTAGCCCATATTTAGTAGATCTTGTAGTCTTTTGCCAGTAATCTATTTAATGCAAATCCAATCATTAACCTCACTTTAGGTTTTAATTAAAACTGTGTTTTAAACACAGAGTGTATACACAGTCATTGTAAAATGACTGTACAACCCCTGTGTT